CCACTCCGCCCCCGCAACGCCCCCACACCTCTCTCCTCAGATGCATCATCCATAACCATAAGCCTTGTTTGTCTTTCTCTCCTTTTTCTCCCTCTTTTCCCTTCCGCCCCTCTCACGCAATCTCCCTCTCTCTCTCTCCCTCCCTCTCATTATGGTGGCACAAAGCCGATCCCCGTCGCCGAGCCACTTCCACACATTCAGCTCGTATTTAGCACTGTCGCTCGGCGCTGCTCGGCGTGACGGTCCGCAGCGAGGCCCGGGCGTGTTTACAAGGCTCTCGACGCGACTTGGGCGACCCCCTTGACGCCGCCCTTGTCGTCTGCCCCGGACCCCTCCTCCTCTATCCGCTGCTACTCGCACGGACCTGTCCTTTCCTGCGGGCCGCCCTCGCGTCGCGACCTCGCGCAGAATCCCTTTGTCACACTGTTAGAGCTCACAGTAATAAATCTGCTTAAATTATTCTTGAAATATATACCAAATAATGCAAAGAGCTAGAACCCTACCACATTTATGCCGTTTCTTACGCTTCCCGGTACTTTCGCGACGTCCTCCGGTGCGCCGCGCCATTCGCCGACCTTTCGCCTGGACAGGATGGCAAGCGTGGCAAACGCCGCCCCGGCGGCCGGCGCCCCGAGCCGCCCCTTCTCTCGAAACTATACCCCCTACCCCGCCACCACCTCTTCCCTATTCTGTGGCCGATGCTCAATAGCCTGTAATTTGGCGAAGGTCCAATTTCCTGCCTCCGCGCCAAGCCACGCCACGCCGTACCACACACATACGCGCGCGAGCGCACACACACACACGCCCTCCTTTCAGACTAACCACGGCCACACCACTAGGTATCGCCTCCGTGCGCTACCACCCTACACAGGTCATCCCCGTCACGCACGATCATCAACCCTCTTCACTTCACTACCCCCCTCCCTCTTTCTCTCTCTACCCCCCCCCCTCGAAAGTCTCGCGGCAGCCAACAGCGAAGAGTTTTTGGCGACGGCAGTGATAAGAATTCCTCTGGCGACGAAAAGGCTGGGATGAGAGAAGAATGTTGAAAATACAAAGTCTTGGTCGGCAGCGGCGAAGCGGCCCTAAGAGGAGGGTTGACTAGCGTGGAGATATTGGCAATCCATTCCCTCATATTTCAGAATCGACAGTCAAATTTTTGGCCAACTAGTCTCTCAACTATCTGAAGATGATTGTTTGTGTAAGCCAAATGTTAATATGTCTAGATTGTCTTTTTCCTTTGAGGTCGGTTTCCAGTTTTTAATTTTTTTTAAATTCTTGGCGCGTTTTTATCGTGGTTTGGTGGCTTGTGCGTGGAGAATGGTGGCGTAGGTGGTGAGCATCTCGCTTGCACGATTTTAGATTGACTCGAATAAATCTCATTCTTTCCGACCGGCTTCTCTGTCCAAGCCGAACCTCTCCGCCCCCTCCAGTTCCTCTCTCGTTTCCTCCTTTCTTCGTCAGTCCCTCTCCGTCTCCCCTCCCCCTCTCTCCTCTCTCCCCCCTTTGTTCCCCTTTGCTGATGCCTTTTGCCGCTCGCTCCCCGCTCGACTCTGCCCGATTATTTTTTCGTTAAGTGGAAACGGCCGGGGAAATAGGGAAATTGCATTGGATTGCGGCCGAGAGACGATTTGGAGACGAGTGAGTTCCGCTGATGGAGAGAGTGGAGGCGTGGATGTGCCCGTGATGCACTTCTATGCCACTAAGGAAGGGTAAGTTGGGGTCGCATCTCGTTCTTCATGAAACGGATCGTTCAAACAAAAATGTCCACTGCGACTGCTTAAAATAACAACTAACGAAGTCCATTTTTTTGTGGGGGAAAACCAAAAGTTTCTTCTACAAAAAGAAGTAATAAAGATGACGATATCTTAACGTCACCATTGTCAAATAGCTCAATGAAAACATGTCACGTGATGATATGCGAACACGGTCTCTTTTCTTCTTGCCGTGTAGGGCGGGTCGAAGTGCCCGCGATGCTGCTCGGAATTATTTTTGGCAGTGTCTGGCGCCTGCAGTCTGCCTCGCAGTCGTTGTTGTCTTTCACCCCCCCCTCGTGTGCCGGGCGGCGGGGGCCCCGGGCCCTGGGGCGTGCAGGGCCGGGGCGAGGGAGAGGAAGTGTTCAGGTTGAGGGGGGGGGGCTTCTTGAATTTTATGACAATATTTTGTTGAAATATATTTTGCTGATGCGCTGGTGATATGTGGATTGTTTATTAAGGCGCTTTTCCTCTAAGTGTACGCTGCTGCGTCTGATCATGCTTAATTTACTTGACTTGATGTAAATTGTGCTAAAGATTTTGTGTCGCGCATAGGAGGTGGGGCAAGGGTTGGTCTGAGTGGGGGG